TTAATCTTGATGAGGAAACCCTGATATCTTCTGCTGAACACCTCCTTTGCATCAGGTAGAGGTCCTAATTCAGATGTGGGGCCCTGTCCAAAAGACATTGTTAATGGGCCATTTGACGTCCACCAAACCAACATTCTTCCGGCACGCTGGTACAGTACACAACACCCATGATGTCGACTCCTTCCTGTCTTCTGTTGCCCATCTTTTTCCCTATGTCCTCAATATCATCATCTCAAGGCAGCGGTCACTCTCCAGATTTACACCATCTTATCTAACACAGAATGGAACTCGGATTCAACGAGCTCGGTTTCAACGAGAACTCGGATTCAACGAGATGAGATGATAGATTCCCCGTTTTTTTCTTCTTTAAAATTAATAAAAAATAACCCAGATTCAACGAGCACTTAAATCAGCGAGCTCGAATTCAACGAGGTCACTTCTAAGGTGAACAGCCCCCGCAGACGTGGCTTCTCTCATTTTTCTCCCAGAACAAACTTTATCTATTCCCGGAAACTATCCATTGCACCTGCATCGTGAACCATTATTCACTTAAGGGGATCCACTGGTCAGATCAGTAAAAATTTTGAAAAAATATCAGTTTTCGGATTTTGGAGTACCTTAATAGATATCAATATCAAGGATCCATCTTTAGAAGCCTAATTCCTTTATCAAACTTATAAATAGCTGGAAAATGTATTTAAGAGAGGCAGCAATGTAGGAAAATCTTCACCAAAAATTATCTCTCTTTGCAGTTTTTTCAGAATTGTTTATCTGACCAGGTTGCAACACTATATTGAGTAGATCTCAGAAAGTTACTGTCAGAATTGTTTCACAATTGCACACAATCTTTTATACACATTTCTCTATAACTTTACAGGAGCATTTTTGCTGTTTATGGTAACATTTGGAATTTTAGGCCTGTTTTATTTTACAAAATCTTAAAACATTGGAGACCTGAATGTGGTGCATAGCAAGGACTGCAAGGCTCACAAGTCAGTACAGAAAATTCAAATTTGGCTCTGTAAGGTTGTTCTACCTACCAACAGTAATCGCCATGCCAAATATTAGGCTTCTATCTTGATGAGTGTTGATGATTGACAAAATATAAAATTGGTTTTAAAAATGCTGAATCAATCCTTTATTTTTGATGGCTCGAGATTATTATTGCTAAAATCTTGAATTTTTTGCTTGATAACCTTTTTTTGTACTATGTCACCCCCTTTGATGCAGAAAAGCAAGCATTAGACCAAAAACTATAGCATTTGGGTGTTGACCATAGCTACACCCCCTTAAACGATTGCATGCAACCAATCAGCAGCCTTTTTTCATACCAACATATGCGTTGTTGGCACGTACATGTGTCTACTCTGGCGTGTGTCGGGGTCTGATGGAAGGCCTGCACACGTGTGGCTGTGTGTGCGTGTCGGGGAGGGGGCGTTGAACGTCGCAGATACAAATACGTCTCAGTCTTTTTCCCCCTCTGCAACTGATCATTATTACAACGATAAGCTAGTCTTGACGTAGATCTACGTAAGGAATTGTGCTCTGGTCTATGGAATCAAAAGTTGCCATATGCTAGGTTCTTCACAGAACACAACTTTTTGGTAAACAAGCGAGATGACACAGGCGTGTGCATTTGAAAGAATCGGTCTTTTTTTTTACACAACTCATAATATGCAGGCATTTCAGGCACTACTTGCGACTTCTCTTTATTCATTACTTGCTCGGTGCCTGTTATTATCTATACAAAACCTCATGTTTGCTATAATGAATACTCGGATTCAACAAGATTTTAGGTCAGGCCCGGCGACCTCGTTGAAGCCAAGTTCCACTGTAATCTACCGAAATGTTCATCTAGTCTACCTTTAATTTTCTGAAAAAATTCTTTTCGCTTTCCCTGTTTTCACACATTCCAGTTGCCAAATTTGGGGCTTCTTCTGGTTGATAAAAAAGGCTCTTCGATGGAGTTGTTCTCTTTTATTAAGACAACTGAACAATACCAGGTTCCCCACTCTCCTTGTCTGTACTAGCCTAAGGAAGGCTGAGAGGGCTGCCCGCCCATCCACCACCATATGTTTTAGTAATCAAAAAATAAAAAATCAATGATCTGGTTAAAAATTAATAATATATCCACAGATAGTCTTTTTCCCTGGGGTGTCAAGGACATGGGTTTTATGTTCAAAGGATGAATGGTAACGTATTTTATAAAAGCATGATGAAAGAGGTCTCTGTGTGCTTGTAGTTAGCAGTTAGGGGAAAAAAAGGGAATGGGGGGGTAGGACGGGTAGTTATTGACTTTCACCATTTTGCATACAAAAAAAAAAAAAAACTTTGGGAAAGACAGTTCTCGCCACAAGCCTGATGGGAGTGTCCAGTGAAACTCGCCCCGTCCCCAAGTGGACAGTCCCAGCGTCCAGTCAGATCGCTGAGTGCGTGTACTAGTATTACTGCTGTTAATACGATCTCTTTTATGAATCCGAATACATTTATTTTGACTCGTAATAACTGAATAAACTACTTCATCTTTCATTTTGACACAGTTTAAAGCTATTTTATGAATATTTTGCGTGTATACCCCATAAGATCTGGAAAAAAATTCCATCGAAACGTGGAAAAAAATTTCGGGATGAACGAAAATATGGGATGATAATCTGATGCCTTCTTTATCATTCCGTTGAATCATATATTAATTTTGTGCGAGTACCTCTTTAATTTTGCAACATCGATTCAGAACTCCCTCGTAAGACAGTTCTCAACAACAACAACAAAAATAGAGAGAGATGATCTAGGCCTAGATCTTTAAAATCATGCAACAGAATAGGCAATGTAAACAACTAGAGTCTGGTGTGAATTTTGAATCCGAGAAGTTAATATTTATCTGAAATTAGTATTCATGAAATACCGGCACAGCCCAAAGTAAAGGCTATAAAAAAAAAGTAGGCCCATTATAATTATATATACGAACCTTAACTTTTAGAAAATTGAAATCTCATAAAAATCATATTAAAAGTATTCTACAATTAAAATAGAAAGCTTTGACCCTCTTCTAGAGATCTAGATCTTACTGTGATGTTATGGCCACCTCTATTCTCACCCAGAGTGAGAATAGTGCAGGCGAGTCTTGTGGCTATTCTCACCCGGTGCGCGTTCATCAAATTTTGCATTCACCCTAAACCACAGAATTCTACACTGTGATGAGAAAAATTGTAGAATTCTGTGCCGTGAACAAACGTTCCATTACAACTGTAGCCTACTAAAAGCGTACAATTTTGTCTGTGGGCAGTGGAGAGAGAGAGAGAAAGAGAGAGAGGAGTAGCGCGAGAATTTCCGGGCAAAACAAAATGGCGACCCGCGTAGTTCGGCTCAATTCGAAAAGTTAAATAGCCGTAGCATCTTTGTAGACAACCAAATTAATTTACTTTTGTGTTTTAACATCATTTTTTAACTTTGTTTTGGTCAATTTGATCGTCCACAGCGATAGACAGTATTCAGAAAGAGACAGAGAGAGAGAGAGAGAGAAGAGGGGAGGAGTTGATCTTGCGAGAACTTCCGGGCGGGTGAGAATAGCCACTTTCGCATGTTATATATACGAGTGTAACCACTGAACAACAATTTGACGTAGAATCTAACTCAATTAGATCTATTTATAATTATATTAACCACTTTAATAGCCTTTAGGAACAAAGCTACTTGAACAAGTGCTTCTATGAGATTCTTATCTCTGCCCTTGGCCCCTTGTCTAAATAAGAGTACATACTCCTCTGAGTTCTAAAATAGGAACAAAAACAATAAATAAATTGGTGCCTGCAGAGTACAACTAGATCTAGATTCTAGATCTATATCTAGATCTAGATCTGGATCTAGAGATCAGGAGCCTAGTCTAGACCTGGAGAAATTAATAGCAACTGGAAATATAATAATATAGAATCTAGATATTAACTCCATATTACCAACGCAATGTAGTGTAGAATCTAGGCCCTATTATTTATGCACGTGCAAGGTCAAGACAAACACTCAATTCATTGAGACTCGTCTTCACTCTCAACTAAACAACACTATCACTAGTATAGTTCAAGACAAGATCAAATCTAAATCTGGATCATCTAGCCTAGATCTGGGAGAACTGTTCTAGATCTAAGTGTAGACTCTCCTCTGACTCCAGTCTAGCCTAGATCTCTAGACGTCTAGCCTTGCTAGACTCTAGCCTACTTGGGAAAGGGATCTCTAAAAACAACCACTGAAAAATCCAAACAAGGTTTGCAGGCATAAGAAAGGAGTTGGGTTGGAACCTTTTATTTACCAATTAATGAGAGTCTTAAAATTCAAAATGTACGTATAATATATGCCATGGTAAAATTGGCATTTTTTATAATCTAGACTCTACTGAATCGGGGAATCTCTACCCGCATTGTCTGCTACTGCGATCATCCGCCATATTGAAATTTTGGCTCGTCATGTTTTAGAAGGAAAATCAAGAGTCATTCGCATAATCTAAACATTAACTTTTGCACATATCTTGTGGTGACTAGCTCTATCAACAATGAATGTAAGAGAAAGCTAACATTGGCGAATCATTCACCTGTGATGGGCCCAAATATCATCTGCGGATGATCAAACGAGTGGTAGTAGATCGTCCATTTGTTGGCTCATGAATATCTTGTTTCTCTGATACCGTTAGGCCCCAGTCTCGGTAGTCACGCCGAGACAGCGAATTTGATTGGTCAATTTTTGTTTTACCTTTGGCTTCAACCAATCCAAATTTACAGCGGATTCCCCTGAACTCTGAGGGTCCGGGGCTTCCCCATTCATTCACGTGATGTGTAAAGTGACATCATTGTTTACATGCTGTCTGATCGAAACGGTAGTAATGTGTAGGCTATCGTGGGGCAAAGTCTGCCCTCTGTCACCCATCTTCAGAAAGTTGCAACGACAGCAATCACTTTGAGACAAATTCTTTTATCATGATATTGTTCATCACTTGATAAACGTAAGTTATTGAATACCAAAGAACAAGCTTTCTCCCCGAGCGTGTTAAAAGATTAGAATAATTTATAATATAGAATTCCCAATGCCAATCCAATGGCAATACTTTACTCAGTTCCCAGCTCCGCACCTCCTGTGGGTTTTTTTAATACACTTTCACTGTTCTCTATACTAATGTATCTACTTTCAAAGATAAATTTATTACTTGGCCTATGAACTTGGAGTTTCTGCAGTCAGTAGTCGCTTAAACTTAGGTTTGGACCTTCTACTTCAACTGATTGTTAAATGTGTAAGTAACTGGTCATGTAATGTAGGTGAATTTTTGTCACATTTTTGCAAAAAACTTATTGAATTGAACTTATCTTATGCTATAGATCTAGTAGGAGGCTAATTGTTATTGTTTTTGCGTGGTGTGTGAAACAACAGTTTACCCTGGGTGACAAAACTTATTTTCATAACAAAATTATAATCCCACACACTTTTGAACTTGAAAATTATTAGCAAGTGGCTATTCTCCGGCTTCGCGCCGGTCAATAGATCGATGGGTTCTCCGGCATCCTGTATAGTTGCACATGTCGCTTCTCCACAGCTTTCCATCTCCCCTGTCGGCATGTTATGGCCTTTATTGTTGCAACTGAGTTCAGTGCCAGATGCGCCTTCCTGTACTTTTGGTTGGGACTGAGAGTTGTTGGCATTTCTGGTACTGTCTGTCAAGTCTGACACAGAAATTGCTCCTTCTTCTGTCACTGGAGCTTTCATTGAGTGAAGTGGCTGCGTGTCGACCTATGGTGAATTGCATTCTGAAAAAATACCAATCATAATGAGCGTTTGTGCAATGCCATAACGTGCCAACAGGGGAGGTGGAAAACGGTGGAGAATCGACATGTGCAACTATACGTGATGCCGGAGAATAGCCATTGATCTATTGACTGGCATGAAACCGGAGAGTAGCCACTGGCAAATTATTAAGTCATTCACAGTGGCTACGTTCACGACGCCCTGAATGCAGTTTGCAGGCGCGGTTGAGCTACGTTCACAGCACTAAATCTCCGTTTAGGGGAAACGTCCAGTGCCGGTTTTAGTCAGTGACGACAGTGAGATTATTTAATATTTTGGCGAGCTTCAAGTGTCCCATCCCATGAGAACAGTGACGATGGGTGGACCAAAATTTGGGTGGGGCTTAGGCTGCTTCCAGTTCTTTACCACCAAATAGCAAGCATTAAGTACTTAACTAAATTGATGATTTTTCTATACTCACGGTGAGCCACGACATTTTGAGAACCATTGAAACTAGAAGAGTTACCTTTGTTTTCCATCTCTTTGTTCTTAGTTAAATTCTTGTTGATGGTGGGGACGAAGCCGATTCACCTCCAGATTTCCTCTAATTAATTTTCATGTGATGAAAATGTTGCCTTAACATGTAGTTCGACCTTTTATTTATAACTGTTACATCTCAGCGGCACTAATACAAACATGCACACACTGCACTTCAAACATATTACTTCCTATGAGCTGGATTAGGGCGTGTAGTAGAGAAAGTTGAACGGACCGAACTATATAAGAACTAATGAGTGCATAGGTATCTGTGTCAGTGGGGGAAAGTGTGTCGTAAACTTTCACCCCATTGTCAGGGCTAGGAGAGCGTGAGCCCTCAGTACATTGTTCTTTTTTATAGTCTTTTACCTTTTTTACAAGAAGAGTTTCATTAAGGACGGGTTGTGGGAAAGAGCTCATCCATTGCCGAGCCCTAAAGACATTTGATTGGCTCCTGGGTTACTATAGTTGTAAGCGGTGACAACAATGATTTGATAAACGAGCAAGCCGCCAAGTTGATCACTCTGTGTTCATTGCGTGGAGTCATGACGGTTTCAACTGCTTATTTCATTATGGAGAAACTTTTATTTACTTTAGAATAGAGTTGGGGGTTGTGGTTGGGGAGGGGGGGAGGGGCTCAGGCCTGTGAGCACTTCACTACCCACCACCACTGCTTGACAATTAAAGTGGGGATGTGGGATATGGAAAATTGGATACGGTAGCCTACGTGGGAAACAAGCAGGGTTTGGTTGATTTAAATCAGTTTTTTTTAATTTAAATCAACTTAATTTTTTAAATACAAATCAGGGATTTACTTCCCCAAAAATATATTTCTACTCAGTTTTTACATATATTTAAACATTCAGAAAAATGCCTTTCCTTGCTTTTATAAATCAAATATATATAAGGTTTGGGGGGGCCGGCTTAAAAATTTTCCCCCCCCCCCCCCCCCCCCCCCCCCCCCCGTCACTGTAAAATAATACAGTATTCAAAGTACTTTTTTTTTCATAATAATTGAAAATGGCATTTTATTTTTATTTTTAGACAAGAAACACGAGCGCGAGCACACACCCTCACCGACTAAGGAATTGTCTAGATTTTTTAACTGTAAAGTTAATAATTTATTGAATGTCAGATCAAATCAATTGTGACTGAGGAGAATAAAAACATTAACAAATAAATTACAAACAGTATAACATTATAATTCAAATATATTATTGCAAGGAACAAAATGGCAACTGAAAGAATTTTGAAAGTAAATCACTTTAATTCAATATTAATATCAACAGTGTCACAATAACCAACAATTTAGATCATGTTGAATTTATCCACTGAGTTGTTTGTGGTTGAAGGTTTTGAAAAGAACAGAATTTTATTATACAGTATTCAATTTACTTGTTTTTCGTAATTAATTTAAATTATAGCATTTTTTTTTTTTCAAGACAAACACAAACACACACACACACTCACACCCTCACACATACTACGGGAATGTCTAGATTTATTAACTGTAAACTTAATAATTTATTGAATGTCAGATCAAACTGTAATAAAATGCTATTTATCAGCATAATTACCCCCAATGGCGGCTCGTGGTTTATAGAACTGTCCGGCCATCATTCACATCGACTCTTTCTCCTTCCCCCCACCCCCTTCCTTCACAAAACACTCACACACATATACACTCACACACACACACACACACACATACTCTCTCTCTCTCTCTCTCTCTCCTCATTTTATACCCCCTACTTTCGCAATCCCTCCCCCCCTCCCCCCTCACACACACACCAGTGTTAACATTATATAATGTAAAAGTGAAAGAGCTGAAATATATGGCAGTCTCAAGAAACAATATTATGAATAATGTATGATGGAAGTCACTGAGATTAATAGAAACTGACTTGATCGGCACAGAAAAAGAAACTCTACTAGAGTCTATATGCTAGAAAACAAACTGAAAGTGAGAAGCAATAAACGACTGTTCCTGGCCTCCAGTACTTTAACCAAAGACTTTTACTTTCTACACACCCACACACAATATCAACACATGCACTCGACCAGTAAATATGTCATAAAAAGAACTGTCCTGTATGATGACACAAAGTCAATTGATACTGTACCAGTAACGCTGTCCCATGTTGATCAAGTGTACAATCATATATACTATACATAGTTGGACATAGCACACAACCAGTTTTCCATCATTATGCAATCAAACGTTCTTCATCGTACTTCTCAGTTCTCATAACACTGTTGTAACAAAGTGGGGAAGTGTGTCAAATGCTAATTATAGAACTTGGGGTCTAGCGGGGGTGACGGTGGAAAAGGGGAGGAAAGGGAGGGTGTAGGCCTAAATTGTTGTCGGCCCAGACTCTGACAGCCGAGTGCCTATCGCTCCTCGTTATAATTCTCCTTATAAATGTATCTTCACTAGACAATTCCTCTTTTGGCTGGCAAGACTCATATATGGGCCAGATAAGTTATCAGGGGGGAGAAAGCGATGAATAAAAATACCAAACAGGAACTATAGGTGGCTAAAAATTCAATAAACAAAAAAGATCAGTGCCATGCAGACAATAAATATTCTGATGATACTTGGAGAAAAGCTGAATGATAAATACACATACTGCTGATAAAAAAATAATTAATGTGTCTGTGAGCTGCTGCTCAAGATAGTCTCATTTTTAATTTTGTAAGCAACGCAGAGGCCAATTTGGCAATCAAGGGATGCTGTACATGTGTATTCGCTCTGAGAGCTGTCGATGGATTTGCCCAGCGGACTGACGTCATCGCTGAACCCCCTGGGTTCAGGTACGAAGTTCTGCAACATGACGACTTAACGGGAGACAATTTGAAGTTACGAGCCGGCACAATAAACAAACGTCTCGACAAAACAGCAGTGAATCCCACTTGTCTTTTTGAGCACCTTCAAATCGGCAAGGTGCTTTTTTTAATGTTGATATACAGTCGAACCTGCCTTAACGGAAACCTGTCTTAACGGAATCTCCCCGCTCCCCCCTTGATATATTCCTCTTTAATTACCTGTATAAAACGGAAACCTGTCCCAACGCGGAAACGGAAAAAAAAATCCGCTCCCTTTCAATGGTTTCACCTGTCTAAGACGGAAAATGCTTTGCCCCTTCAGCCCTGATTTGAAACAAAACTCGCAAGTTTGGTTCCGCCGGCTATAAACTTGACGCCATGGCGTAGGGGTGCAATTTGGGGGTAGATGTTACCCCATCATGCGAGCCCTGAGCGATGCAAATGGTCAGTGTAGTGTGGGTGTTAAATCTCACGACTGCCTGTGAGAGTGCTCGAGTAGCGAGCCACTACGGAAACTTTCCTGGCTACCCAGAAGCGAGAGGTGTGAAATTAATTTGACCAATGCCTGCCGCCCTGATCGTACGCCAGCCAAGAAAAGAGTTCATCGAATCGTAGTTACAAGATGGCAGTGAGGGATGGCATTGGTTGACTGTGCTTGTTACACCGATGGGTGAGGCTAAGGGTGGAAGCAAAGGAGATGTTCAAACGTTTTTGTTTTTAATAGGTCAAACAGTGGTCCTATGACTATGAAAGGCAAACACTGGTGGTAATTGGATAAGTAAGACTGACGCATGTCATTATCAGACAGGATAGCAGCTGAGAGTGTGAAGTTTTGACCACTGCTTGCTGATCGGACTAGCGATCCTTGATCCCACCAGCTAGGCCTTTGAACCCCCCCCCCCCTTTCATCTCCCCCTAAATTCCCCTGTCTAAGACGGAATTGTTTTCAGGCTCCCTTGCGATTCCGTCTTACACAGGTTCGACTGTATATATGTTTGTTTGGATTTATGTAAAGCTGAATGAAAATCATCATCAGCAATAAATCTCTTGTCCAGCTGACAAAAATTTGGCCGGCACCGCCAGTCTTGCCCAGTTAACAAATCGCCCCTGATTACCCCCCTTCCTTTTAGACTGACATTTTCTTCATTTTTTTGTCTGTAGCCATGAATAATTCGCATAGCAGATTAAGGCTTTCTTTTCCAGTTGCTTAAATTTATCATTAGCTAAAATAAATAAAGACAATGCATTTTGCTCTAAAAGAACATACTTTTAACCACTAAAAATTAGAAACTGTGTCGACATTTTTTTTAAAATAAAAAGAATGAATCTGATTTAAATTTTTTAAAATCAGATTTAAATTTAAAAAGTAAAACAAATCACCAACCCTGGAAACAAAAGGTGAAAGATGGGAAACAGGAGGTGGAATTCAGAAGATGGGACTTGTCATAAAATGTGTATAATAATGACTGTATTGCATCAGGTCAGCCTGAGAACGGGCGCGGAGAGAAAATGACGGGAATCAATTATAATTTTTATTATAATAACAAATACCCTCTCTCTCTCTTTCTGTCTGTCTGTTTCTCTCTCCCCTTTCACTTTCCTTCTCTCTTTCTCTCTTTCTCCCCCCCCCCCCCCTTCTCTGTCTATTTTTCTCTGTCTCTGTCTATCCATCTCTCCCTCCCTCTTTCTCTCCCCCCCCTCTCTTTCCCCCTATCTTTCTTCCACCACCTTATCTCTCTCTTTCTCTCTCTCTCTCACACACACACACACTGCCCGCAGACAAAATTGCACGCTTTCAAGAGCATTGGAAAGTTTGTTTACACTCATATATCACGGGCCATCACGCGCTAACACAAGGTCGCACCCATGTCTTGCCCGGACGCAAGATAGGGTATTTGAAACATCTTGGTAGGCTTATACATTTTTGTCATATGTATATCCTAGTGAGTTGTTGCGTAACTGAGAGTTCGTCATTTTCCCTTACACTTACACTGGCGAGCTCTGAGTCAGAGCTCAGTGTAAGGGAAAACAACGAATGGTCAATCGGTCAAGTATCACTGCTTCGTTTTCCTTCATCTCATTGGATGGAACTCTTGAAGCTGGCCAAAATATTAAGTATACGTCACTGTCGTCACTGACTAAAACCAGCTTACTTACACCTGCAGTGGACGCTCTGTCTAAACGAAGCTTGAGTGCCGTGAATGTAGCCTCAACAGCACCTGCAAACTGCTTTCAAGCTGAACACCCAATGTGCAACAGTTACTACTGGACCTTTCTACAAAGACAGATTGAAGATAACTGCCAGCAAGTATAATATAAGCATCTCTACAGGAGTTGAAGGCTGTCATATACCACAATGCTACCGCAAATGCCACTTTGCCTCTATAAGAAGTTTTAATATTGATCAAGTTAAATCCGATAGGTGTAGAATATTTCAAAACAATTGTGACTTTTTGTCTTATTTTTTTGTTATAGCCATAGGACACTGAGTGATACAGACATGCTCTTCTTTTTTTAGGAAAATGACTTACGCAGTGGCTACGTTCACGGTGCCCTGAATGCAGTTTGCAGGCGCTTTTGAGGCTACGTTCACGGCACTCAAGCTTTGTTTAGACGAAGGGCCCACTGCCGGTTTAAGTCGAAAGTGGGATTCAGAATCTGGGAACATTCAATGGCGAACCCACCCCAGTGTGCTTTTTTGAAGTTGAAGTGTTTCAGACAGTCTTTCAGGCCCCTGAAACGAACAGCCATTTTGCACTTTATGCTCTTTGATTGCGCATTCTTGGAGAGCTAAGTCGGGCAATCCTTACTAAAGGCTGTGTACTGGCCGTGGCAATTGGGGCAGCAAGGTTCTCAGGATACCCGGTCTTGCCACAATGAGGACTCACTGCTGCGTGTCGGCATCTCGATTGACAGTGGCCGAACTTCTGACACCTGAAACAGCGCAGAGAGTTCGGCACGAAGGGTCGCATGTCAAGGACCAAATATGATGCCCGAACGGGGACTGGAGGGCGACACGAATCAAAAGTCAGGATGAATGTGTTGATTTCGAGGGTGGTCTCCCCCTACCGAAGAGTAATCCGGCTGGCATGGGTCACACCTTCGCAATTTGCCACAATATCCTCCATGCTGCTGCCCTTTAGTTCATGGCTGCAGACAACGCCCTTTGGGCAGTTCAACTTCTGGTACTGCTCGGAAGTACATTGAATACCGCCGAAGGTTGTGGTGTTCAGGAGTTTGGCCACTTCTGTCTCTGTTGCGCACTTGACAAGGAGTTCACCAGTGGACAGCTTCTGGGCATTCGTAGGAATGTTTCTCAGAACCTGTCATAGTGCATCTCCTGTCTTAAAGTAAGAGATTTAGATCAGTGGTCTTACTCCGTGAGTCTTCTGCCCTGGAAATGGCCACGTACGGCTGCCACGGAAACTCCCTAGGAGAAGGGAGTGTAGAAGCAGCGGTAAAGGTCCTTTTACCATTTGGTTTGCTTTGCTCAGCGGCCGCACCCGCTTCTGTGAGCCAAGACTTCTTATTAATGTTGGGAGCTGGGGAATGGTCTTTAGAGAGTGAGGGTTCCATATATGTGTTTGGATGATTTTTCGACTCCAGGGCTCCCCACCCACCATCGAGCCCAACAAGGGGGCACATAGCTCAGATGAGCAGAGCTGTGCCAGGGCTACCCCGGAGCTATACTCTTCTAGAGAGTATGCAAGACCCTCCTGTCAAGATTGACACAGTGACTGAAGGGGTTTCAGCTCCCAACCGATTGAGTGACATGGGCTGTGCCACCCTCCCGTCTAAGAGGAAAACCTGGGCCAAAGAGGTGTGTTGGCGAGGGGCAGTCCGCAGATTGATCTTACCTCAACCTCCAGGTACCCGGTTTCCCTCGGCACGGGTCGCTCCTCATGGTCAACGAGGCGCCCACTGTGGGATGGGTGACCTCTAGTTTTGCTCCACATGAGGTCGGCGGTAGAAGAAGTAAGAAAGAAGAGATAGATACACCAAAGTAGGTGTCCCATCTGGATCCCAGAGGGTTGGGGTCCGTGTGCAACCCTTCGTCAATGAAGGGGTTACACTTCCTACAGACGGGGTAGTACGCCAGACCCACAGGGGGGGAGTCAGGTGGCTGCTTTTCACAGTGTCATTATAATGTAAAGAAAAAAAAAATGCAAGGAGGAATTGGGAATTGGTTGTTTGCACAGGTGTTTATTGTACACAGGTGGCCGTTAGAGCTGATTTGACTGTATTTGCGTGCAAAGCCAGGGTCCATGAGTGAGGGAAAAACTCAGCCACATTGTTTTTTTGCTTCTGAACAATGGTAGAAATCTGTCTTTAGGCAAAAGGTGATTGCAGTGACATAACCAGATGGTGCAACGTCAGGGAAAATGTAAAGTCAGTTCATTCCCATCTCTGACAATTATAAGTTTTTGCTGTATGTCTTAACAGCAGTGCATTTTGCATTACATTTTTTTTATCATATCCCAACAGAAGCATTTAAGCAACAAAATTTTTGTGAATACAGTCGAACCTGTGTAAGACAGCCATGCATTTTCTAGGAGAACAGTACATTATGGTTCTGTGAAAGGTCAAAACAAAACTAAATGTGTCAGACGAGGAAAGCCTAGTGCCACAGAAAAACTAAGAAATGGGTCGCTACCACTCAAAGAATCTGTCGCGAGTTTGTGTAGACTTCCATTGTTGTGGACTGGGTTTTTATGCACTGGGTTGTGGGTGGGGCTTATAGGTTATGACAGATCACAGTCTTCCCTTACCAGCAGCTAAAAATTTATTGTTACCCACTGGTCAACTTGGGTAAACATTGGGAGCGACCTAAACAACATGACTGTTTCATCCATTGGAGGGACTGACAATAACCACAAGTGAATTAATTATGACGGCTTGTTCACAGCGTCAGGGGAAAATGCATAATTTTTTACCGAGCCTGGCTGTCTGAGGCAGGTCAATTTGGTCTTGGGTTGATAAAATAGGGTGGCTGCGACCTCGTTAGACAGATGTATGTTTGACACAATCAAATTATGAAGAAAAAACGCAAGGGGGGAAATGGAAAGTGGCTATTTGTACATGTGGTTGTCATGGTAAGTTTAACTGTACTTCTGGCTTTGATTATTTGCTCTAAAGTTTTATGTCTCTTTGTCCCTGGGGTTAAAAAAAGAAATGGAAGAGGCTATGGTTGAATCGGGAAAAAACTCTTTTTTAAACTGTATATATATAATAACAGCCCCCACAGTGTGTGTAAAAGGAGATACAACTTACGGTCACTTGCATCTTACATAGCATTTTGTTTGGGAATGGGTTTTTAAAAAATATTCTTTCTTTCGCTTCAGGATGGAATCAGCAGCAACAGATGAGTCATTTATCAATGATGTGATCACCAGAGTTTCCGCCTATGATGTCAGACGATGTGACCCATACCCAGAGACTTCGAAAGACTTCAAGAGAGCTGCTGTTTTATTACCTTTAAGAGTGCATAATGGTAAAGTGGATATTTTACTTACCAAGAGATCTCTTGGTCTGAGGTCACACCCAGGGTCTGTTTCATTTCCAGGTGGAAAGAGGGATGAAAGCGACAGCTCCGATGTTGAAACTGCTCTCCGGGAAGCAGAAGAGGAAATTGGATTGCCACAAGAGAAAGTGCAGGTTATTGGTGTACTGACAAGAGGTATTACCCTCCCCAGTACTGTTGTTTACCCGGTTGTTGGCCTAATCCCTCACGATTTTGAGCCTGCTCCTAATCCAACAGAAGTTGAGTTCGCTTTTTTTATGCCCCTGAAAGATTTTATTGAAGCTGACAAAATATCATATTCTATCATGGATATCTATGGGAAGCCTTTCATCTCAAGGTCTGTGCACTATGAAGGCAATGGGAGAGCTGCAAATGTGTGGGGTTTCACAGCAAACTTCTGCACTCTGATAGCCAAGATTGTATTTCAGGAGAAAAGTTTTATTCAGGTGTTTTATGACTCAAATGGTGATGGTGGAGGGAAAGAGCTGGACTGTGAACTTAAAGAATATTTTGAACATATGTCTTCAGTTCATGCTTTGAAACTCAAATCGAAACTCTGATTATGAGTATCGTAATTTATTTTTGCATATACTCTTTTCTCCTTTCTACCTAGAACATCAACTGAAAATAAAAATATACTTTTTGGAATGCACCTCTACAGCTGTGTGGTCAGGTATAATTCTGTTAATTTCATTTTTTCAAAATAATTAATTTTTATAGTTGATTGTTTACTACCACTGGGTAGTACTTTAGCAGTTCAGCTACCTAAGATAATAGACAGTGGCGAAAGGGTAAATCGAATAGAGACCTGGAGGGCACAAAAAAATAACTTTGTATGGTTAAATGATAAAAACGGTTGGAATTGTCCAAGATGGTCACTCATTGTCAGCAGCGGGTTCCCAAGGGTTGTATGGATCTTTAACCCTGGTCATGCAGAAATTCGTGGTAATGAACATGCTGATAAGCTAGCCGGCCAGGCTGACATTGGGGGCACCATGTAATTAGATCCATCAACAGTCATGGCAGCATTGATAGCATGGTTCAACAACCACAGACAAGATGGAGGCTGTACGTCACGCACAGTGGAAGAGGGAAGCTGTTGTCTTACTAATATTGGGAAGAGAGGTCAACCTGTGTGGAATAACCAGAAGAATATCCAACCAACTGATAACTCGCACGATCGGCAAGCCAACCCTTTCATGGATCCTGGAGAGGTGGGAGGGGCATCTATGGAATTATATTACCAGCAATTATAAGTATTCTCCGACCAAGGCCAAGGATGTCGAGGACAAAGAAGGTTGCCTTAGACAGGTGACCATCTTGGACAATGTTATTATTATAATAACCTGTTGGGGTTTTATTTTTTAAAGCAACGGTGGTAAGTGGTCGTTTGTACAAGTGATTGTTTTGGGAAGGTGGCCGGAGTAGGATCGACTGCAAGTGGATATGCAATGTTAATCGTTATTCTCCTGTTACTAGAGAAATATTGCCCCTAAAGTACATCATGTACATACTGACATACCCTTGACAACTGCTGCTCACACACTTGTTTCGCTTTTGTATTCTTTACCCTTCATAATTTATCAAGTCATTTATTTTCTCACTTACTGTTCCTTGACCTCAATAGAACAGTCATGCTTTAGGAAGACACAGTATTTTGTTAGTTTTCTGAATTCTGCTGTTGCTGTGTGACCTGTTTTTATCTTTAGAGATTTTCATCTCTTCTTATAATGTTCATGAACTAGTTGTTTGGGGGGGGGGGGGGATTTTTTTTTCTATACGGGTTCTATGATTCCCTGAATGAAAGATTTGGCTCTAGTTGTATGTCCATGCTATTTAAACTTTTCTTCTTAACAATTGTAATTAGATCTTTGTGTTAACCAATAATGGTCTCTTTGACCCGATCAGTGCTTTGTTTTATACACTGTCTTCATAAAATAACTGGTCGCTTTTAAAGGCCAAGCGGGCTAACCCAGATTTGGGGGGTTTCCAGAAATCTTGACCGGCACCAAAAGTGGGCATTGCCCTACCTATAGGAGAAGTTTTGTTTCCTTGGTGTGTATATTTGTTTGGTTAAAAAGAAAACTCTCCTTGTTTTTTTAAAGAAACTGAACAAGGGGCAAAAACTTTACCTTCGATTTTCTCAAAACAGCATTTTTCGGGATAGCCCCCTTGTGCTTATCTGACCCCAACACACGCAAAGAAGACATGGGTGCGTGCTGACAACGCGTATGTTGGTAGGAAAGGAGGCCGCTGATTGGTCGCATAAAGTTGTTCACCCTGCAAGCGACTTCTTTGAATCCGAGCTTGTTCATTTATGTGTTCATTGAATCCGAGTTATTTTTATTTATTTTTATGAACAAAAATGCGGGGAATCCAGCCCCTTTTGTTGAATCTGAGTTCGTTGAAACCGAGTTCCACTGTATTTGATTTGGGTTAAATGATGTAAATTGGTCAAATTTTATTCTAGTGTTCAGGCTCAAATGACATTTTTTGTTCTTGTAATTGTAAACAATTAACAGACCATGGCCCTCTTAGTCATCTTGGTGTGTACAGTGACATTCTGTATGTGTCACGACGCGGTAGAATCGGGCGCCCGTCATGTGGAGTTATTGATTTCATCTTATAGTTTAGAGGTTGTGATATTTGTGATTGAAGTAGGTGGTAGCCGCTTGGTTTCAGTAGTAAAATTTGCGAGAAAATGGCCACCAAAGTTTGGTAACTTCCTCAGCTTGATAGTCTTTGGAAACTAAATATTGTCATTTTTTTTGTGTCTTTAACCGTTTTTCAGTAAAACGGACACAGAAATGTGATTTGAAATGGACATAAAGGATGGTGAGCTAAAAAAAAAAGATCCAACAAAAATTGCCTAACCTGTAGAAAAATGCTATTTTCTTCGGTTTCTTCATTGTTTTGACGAGCGCCTGATTTCACCACAGTGCCTCACGTTGAAAGAGATAAAATGGCGTCACTTGTTGAGTTTTAAATAGTGAAAGGTGGGTGGTTGGCGGATGGTCTGCTCCTTCTTTCCTATTGAACATCTATCGTCCTTATCTCTTTTCCTCCTTTTTTGTGTTTGTTGCTCTCTTGTAACACCTCTTCAGCACTTGTATGACCTTATTGTGTTGCAAGTGCCGTAAAACTCTTACTAAAACTAAAACTAACTTGTGAGTGTTGATGGGTTTGGTAATGGTATATTTTAGTAATGAAAGAGAATTTATACAAGGTTCAGAATTATGTGTTTTAATCTATTTTTATCTCCATTACAATGGAAATGATTTCTTGTTTTGTTTTTGTGTAAACATGTGTTGGTTGTTTATTCAATTTATTTTGTGATTTTCTAACAATCCTTTTTCAATGCTTTTTTTTGGCTTTGACTTTTTGTTTTGTTTTAAAGTTAAAGTTTCAATTGTTTTGATTTTTATATTCCAACATTTTAGATATGATACATGTAGGATAATTAATTATCATGTTCATTAGTGTATCCTGCCTAGAATTTGATTTTTCTATGAACCTGAGAAGCATTCTCAGAGTTCGAGTGTCTTTTCATAATATGCTGTCACTGCCAAGGCAGGAGATAATGCTTAAACTCGAACAAAAAATGGCTCCTTACAAGACACTAAATTCTGTGATTTTCCGGCCGTGATTTTTACGACATTAGAAGGACATAAAAACTATTGTCCTAGGAGTTGAAACTTTTCTGTTTGACCCATTGTACATCTTAAGTTAATGGATAGTGTCATATATGCACAATGCTAATGTTAAAAAAGAAACTTACAACCCAAGTTGCAGTGGTCATGGCCAACTAAAAATTGGTTCCGTGTCTGACACTGCAAGATAAATTGATAAATTTATGTTATAGGGTGTATGACAAGTCAACATGTTGAGAGAAAGTGATGGTAGTGGTAGAAATATAGAGTTATAAAAACACATGTTTAATATATTTTTTTAATCTATTTTTATTTGCTGTAACGGGACAAGGTATATTTAATACTTTTTTAAACAGATTTCGTATTTGTGTGCATGTTGTGTTTCTCACTTTGGAATAAGGTTGGGTTTTCAACATGCTCCACTCAGAAATAATGTCTTCCCTTTTAGCTTGTTCACGTGCAAAGGATTGAGATTGATTGGGAAGGATGTGTAGTCTTCAGTACATCTTAAAGTTTAGCTCAGGGATATTTACATGATGTATTTTTGCTCTATTTTTACATTTTCTATTTTTTATTATAAAATGCTAGTTAATGTTTTTATAAAGAAGGCCCCTTTGGTTGAACTTTCTTGTTTCTTAATGTTACTGTTACCCCAGTCTGTGATAGTTGTTGTTATTCCCTACCTCCAATAATCAAATTCTTTTGTTTTTTGGGTTTCTTTACGATCAGTCTTTTAAAGCAAATGTTGTGACTGGGACATGTTTTGTCATGAACACATTTGAGAATGGATAACATGAAAGGCCACGGGATGTGACCGCATTGTGTCGTTGTGAATCTGGCCTTCGGAGAAATAGGAGTTGCACCGACATTGCAATGCCAATCACTTCTGTATACAATGTGCATCTTTTACAATAAAAAAGACATTGTGGCATTACATCTAAAGCATCTGTTTCATGGCAGTTATATCTTTAGATGCTTTTAGATTTTTAAATCATGGCGGGTGCTCTGGTGTGGTTGGCTCCTTCTTTCCTATCAAACTTCTGTAGTCCTGATCTCTCCTCCTGCTTTTTTGTGTTTGTTACTCTCTTGTAACACGACCTCTAATCTTCGGCTCTTATATGACCTTATTGTGTTGCAAGTGCCATAAAACTCTTACTAAAACTAAACTAGATTTGTGAATCACTTATTCAAAATAGTGAGTGGTTGACGGGTCCTCTAACTCTAGTGTTGTTTGCTTCTTCTTTCCTATCAAACATCTAACATCCTATAAATCTCTCTTCCTTCTTTTCCATGTTGTATGTTACGCTCTAGTAACACCTCAAGTCTTCAACACTTGTATGACCTTTTTTATGTTGCAAGTGCTGTAAAATTTTAACTGAAACTAAATTAAACTTGTTCACATTCACAACAGCAGTGCCATGCAACCTTTGGGAATACATGCCATGTATTATTTGAATAAAATATGATATATTGATGAGACACCTTATAATGATGTGAGTTTGACTTCTTGATTTTTGCAAAGCATTAGTATTCTCCCTTTTGAAAAGATTTATAGTTCTTTTTTAGATTGTTTGTCTTTGTATATATTTGAGTACTTTGAGCTGCTTATGTATTGTTATGGTCCAATAGAATCAATATATAGTTTTTTTGACTGAAAGACCTAGTTTACTGCGAACCTGTGGAAATTGAGATTTGTTTCAGAATACTGTCAGGTCTACTGGGGTAATAAGATATAGATTGTTAAGTAAAGCGCTTAGAGCTTCCTGTTGAGCGGGATTTTGCGCTATATAAATGCTATCTTACTCTAATGAAGGTTCAATGTTACTGAAAATGCCCACTTTTTTCCTTCTTAATTTGGTATAATGTCTATTATATTCAATGAATACACAAATATAATGAAATCGGACAATTTGAACTGAAGTTAGAGCATGAAAAGTGGGTTTGGTTTTTTTGTCCAATTTGAAACAAAACATGACTTCATCAGTTACTGTGGGTGGTTGGCGGGTGT